GAATTCAACAAAACCCTTTACACAGCAAAAATGAATCCGTTTAAGATTTTCATAAAATAAATTGCACATATAACACGATAACGATATATGAGAAATTTTGAAATCAAAATTATACCGATGAATTTTTTTTGCTTTTTTTAATCAAAAATATTACGATTAAAACGGTTTTAATATAGTTATTTTCGCTATTTGAATTCACTCAAATCATAAAGCTACGGAAAGCAACTCGATTTCACATTTTCATAAAAAATTCCCGTTCGTGAGGCAACGTGTTGAAGAAATTTTTTTCGATTAAAATTTAAAATTGAAAAGTTATTGGTTTTAAAATTTTAGTGAAGTTAAATGGCACTATTTATAAACACAAAAAAACTATTAAAATATTTAAATTACAAAAAATAAAAGTTTTCATCTGTAAGTTTCTAACAATCAAAAAGAATACATAATTCCTTCCATTGAATTCTTTAGAATAAAACCATATTAAATAGTTGCATATCAAAGCGAAGGAAGATGTTTTTAAATACAGATTAATTGTTGTAATTCATACAAAATAAAACATCAAATCTATGTAGAAAAATACGCTTTGTTTCGCTCTGATAAGTAACTATTTATATTCTGTTTTTATTCTCGAGAATTCAACTGAACAGTTCTCGTTTGTTCAGGTTCGTTCGAAATAAAAAAAATCTGTTCATGTTCATTCGCGTTTAGTTCAAATTGTTCAAAATATGTAAACATGCCGTTCATATTCGGTTCATATTCGGTTCAAATTCGAATGAACCGAACGAACATGAACGGTTCAGTTCAGTGGGCACCTCTAATTGAAATTCATCATCAAGAAATAAATGTGATACAAATTACTTACTCTATCAATTCATCCGACTTTGTTATTGTAACAATCATTCGAGTGCAGCGTATAGCTTCGATTTGCATTTTCACAGTTTGAACCTATATATTATTGAGATATAAAACGGAATTAATTATTCTGCATAAGATTTCTTAATACAAATTCATTGAGCAAAAAAGTTCTTCACCGTAATGCTGTTCTCTTGAACGAAAATTGCAGTTTTCAGCAGCGATATCAATCCTTGATTTCGTAATTGATCAATAAATCGCTCTCCGTAAGAACAGAATATCCGAAACAATTTCAATGTGAAGGTATTCGTCTTTTGAATTCGGGAACTTGTGCCTAAAATTATGAAATTTCTCACAAAAATGATCACTAAATTTGAATTGTTTGCTTACCGTCTGCGGCTGTACCAAATTTTGTAAATTGATTGACCAAAACTTTGATCAGATTTGAGTATGAGAAAATGCGCTCGGTTACTTCTCGGCTTGTACGAGCTAAGCGAATCAATATCTTTATACAGCTCAAGTTTGTGGTATTGTCGAGCTCCATTGTTGTAAGTATATAACTAGAAATAAAACGGGATTTATAATTCTCTTCCATTTAATTTTTTAAATAGGAAAACGAAAAACAAAAATTGAAATTTACGTGATGCGTTGCAAAATATTTGTCCGAAGAAATAATTTTACTAAATCGGTTTCAGCCAAATGAAAATCATTCATTGACGATAAATTATCATCATCATCGTTAACATTTGTCTGCATCACATTCGATTTTATTGACATATTGGAAAATTGTTTCTCAAGATTTGTATTTTCGGTTATTGTTTCGTCACTTTCGATTTCCATCGTTGGTTCCAGACCATCGAATGAGCAGTCATAGGTCATGTCAAGTAGCACCTAATGAAATGTAATTTTTTTAAATTGAATCGAATTCAATTGAACATTAGACGTAGAAAATACCTCATCAGTTTCATTATAAAAAAGTGCTGATAGTGCTTTCGCTGATTCCTCAAGCATTGCTGGCGTATTGTCATCAAAAGCGTATCGCAGTAAAAAGAACATTTTCGAAATGGGTAGCTCAAAAATGCCATCATAATAGCCCTGGTTGTAAATACTCAAAATGCCACCAACCGCTTTGAGGGCCGATATTCGCTGCTGCACTATAGTTGACCGAGCCAATCGAAATAGCTCTTGCAATGTGTATCCAGGACGATGTGAATCATCACCATGTAAATATAATTCCGTTGAATTGGTCGTTGCATCATTTTCCTTGGGCTTAAACGGCAAAAGTACACCTTTCCAATCGAATCGTGCTTCATATTGTTCGCCAGGTTTGAGCTCGGGCATATTATTTGGTAAATCACGCATCCACTCTAACTTGCTTGGTTCAACAACATCAAAATGTAACCAATTTTTGCTATTTTCATCTTTGAGAACATCAATGTCAGGCATCGACTCAACTTGTGTCTCCTTCATTTCGACATCATTACTGACGTGTTCCGTTAATTTTGACAACTTTGCTTTGCGCTTTTCCTTCAAGAATTGGACAATTGACGGATCCATTGTTCCTATTAATTAAATTATATTTCCTATAAAACCAAAGTGTGTTCATTAAATCTGATAAACTATTACCCAATAAACGCTTTCTTTCTTCTAGAATTTCGTCTTCGCTTAGTTTTTGAAGAAATTCGGTATTTTCCCTGTGAATCGCCACTGCATCCGAGTTTTGTACAATGTGCGATTTCATTCCGAAATCCACTTGCGATTTCTCTGTTTGTTGCGATGAACTTGTACTAGCCGTTTGATTGACATTTTTGGAATGGAGCTGAGCAAATATACTCTTTGTTGTAGATGGCTCAATTTTAACCTGAAATTAGTCCCCTTTCATAAGTAATTTCTTGATTTATCATGCAGCACAGAAAAATACCTTCTGGTCGATCCTTTGGGGTTTTGGAAAACCTTCTGAATCGTCAAATGACATATGCTCGATATCACTTTGCACAGAACCAATGCCTTCTGTACGCTCGACTATATTTCCAATTATGATATTGGTTGAGGTGGAATGACCCTCTGTGTTGGTTTTTTCTTTGTCGGATAGTTTAGATTGCTTTGCTCTTTCTTGGGCAAACTTTGATAATTTTTTTGCTGTAAAATGTACGTTTTTGAAAATTATTATTCGATGGTGTAATTTGATCAATTAGTTCCTTTGAAACACTCACTCGATTCTACTTTGACTAATTTTGCAGCCGGTTGATAACTTTTAGTCTGTTTTTGTTCGTTGAGAAATTCATTTTGCATTTGCAATATATCATCCTCGGTATCGGTTGTTTTTGGTCGTTTTATCATTTTGCTCAGTTTTTATAAATACAAAATTCGTAACAAATTCAAAAGTAATTCTTTAAGAATATTTAACATCTTTTGCGACTCAATTGAATGTTTACCTCTGTTGTAGGCGAATTTAGGTTATGTCGATCACAGTGTGTTTATATGAAACGTCAAATATGCTTTGTTATTGCGGCTTCCAATGAGAATAAAATTTAAATTCCAAACTGGAAACCATTCCATTGAAACGTTCATTTCAATATACTATATAATTCTATGATTTTTGACGGTTAGAATAGAACAAACTTCGATTTAATCGAAAATCATACAAAGGGCGCAAACTTTTGATTGGAAATTAATTATTTATTCATCAATTTTTGATTATATCTCAAAGATTTGTGATGATGTATTTTTTACACTTCACCTTTATTTCATCACATTTTTGAACACATTCTAGATGATAAAAAAATTAAAGTGAAGATTACGTACATTCAGAGCATATACTGAGCATAGATATATATCCGGGATATTTTGTGAGT